AGGATTTGAAAGAGCTCAACTGGAATTCCATCACCTCCACTAGCTTTGTTCATAGTGATACTTCCTAAGACCCACTTGACTTCACATTCCAGGATGTCTGGCTCTAGGTGAGTGATCACAGCATCGTGATTATCTGGGTCATGAAGATCTTTTTTGTACAGTTCTTCTGTGTATTCTTGCCACCTCTTCTTAATATCCTCTGCTTCTGTTAGGTCGATACCATTTCTGTCCTTTATGGAGCCCATCTTTGCCACTCCAAACAAAATAGGAAGATAAACTTTAGGTTAGGAAAAACAATTGGAACATATATAACTGTAAAAACATGCAAACTAGTATAGAATATACTGTGTACCACTGCATGTCTTGATTAAATGGTACAATTTTACCATTTTGCTGCTGCTTCCCATAGGTTGCACCCACACTTGCCTAAATGTCACCTTCCTGGTGAGGTCTTTCCTAACAACCCTATTTAAGAGTAACTCCCATAAAATTAGGGGGAGAATGGATACACGCATATGTATGGTTCAGTCCCTTTGCTGCTCACCTGAAACTATCACAACATTGTTAATTGGCTATACCCCAGTACAAAATTAAAAAGTTTGAGAACGTGCTTAAACCCCATAGCCTATATGACCATCAGGCATACTAGATGTTTTTGCTTTCTTATTTGTTTAGTGTGTGTTGTTGCCTTCTTATAACAACTCAATAGAAAAAAAAAATAAAAGCATATAAAAAGCAGAAGGAAACAAACTCATATAAAAATATAAAAAAGAAAAATAAAAGAATGTCCAATCTCACTAGTAATTAGAGAAATGCATATTAAAGTATGAATTATTTTATATCCATCACATTGAAAAAATGTTACAGTCTGGCAATACCCAATGTTGGTAATGATATGAGCTAGTATAAATTGCTCTTGCCACATTAAAGAGCAGTTTGCCACATCTCGTATATCTTTTAGGAGGCATATACTCTTTGGCCTAGCAAGTCAGAAGAGAAACCACAGTATGTAGCCCAAGAGTGTAACAATATCCATCACACCATTATTTGTTTTAGCACAATTTGGAAATAGCTCAAATGTCCATTAACATTAATGATTAAGTTAGAATATAAATATATGATAAAATACTATCTAAATGTTATAATGAGAGAATTTAAACTAATTCTATCAAAGTAGTAAACTATTCAAAATATATTCAACAAAATAAGCAAGCTTCAGATGAATGCCTGTAGTGAGATATTTAAACAAAGTTTTAAAACAGCCAAAACAGTGCTATATATTGTTTATGGATGCAAAACATGTATTAGAAGCAGAAAAACATTCAGGGATATTTAGGAGAGTAGTTATCTTTTTGGAATTAGGAGGAAATTCATGGCAAAATCTACTTATATCTGTAATGTTTTATTTTAGAAAGAAAAGATTTGAAGCAAATATGATGGAATTTTAGTATTTGACAAGGCTGGATGGTAGTACATAGCTTAGGGTTGTAATTATGTCTATACTGAAATTCAAGCTTGAAGTATTTAATAAGGAAAGAAATAGGAGGGTACTTAGGTGTGACTACCAGGGAATAAAATTCAAGCCATAGCATATGAAGTAATGTGGTGTGGCATAGCAAAATTGTAAGCTGAATTTTCTTATGAGTTGAAGATTGGTGCAAACCTAGACTTAGTATCTTCTTTTCAAAACAGTTAATGAGGTTAGTTTTTGGAACCAGACAGTCTAGTTTGAATCTTGATTCAGACACTCAATAACATTAAAACTGGGCATCAGTTTCCTCATTTTTTAAGTGGAAAAATATGATAAAATAGGGAATAGAAAAACAGTAGAGAAAATCAACATAACCAATAGTTGTTTCTTCAAAAAGATTAACTAAAACTAACACAACATTGTAAACAACTATACTTCAATTAAAAAAATAAATAAAAATTAACAAAATTTCCAAACCTTTAGCTTAATTCAATAAGAGGAGAGAGAGAAAGAGAGATGACTTGAATAACTAAAATCAGAAATTAAAGAGGAGACATTACTACCAACAAGATAGAAATAAAAAGGATTATAAAGTAAAAAAAAGTACCTCCTCATAACAAATGCTATGAGGATGCAATGAGATAATATTCGTAGTGTCTAGAATATTTCATGGCACATGATAAAAAGAAAGGCATAAGATTGAAGTGTGCTTTGAATGCCATGCTTTCTCTCATTTTGTTTTTTACAATAACCTTATTAGATTCATGTTTTTATTATTCCATTTTATATGTAAGAAAACTGAGCCTTAGAAAGGTCAAATAACTTGCCCAAGATCACCCAGATCTTAAAAAACAGGGATGGGATTCAAACCAGCTCTATCTCCAGGGAAATACAACTGTAAATTAATATCCTGGGTATATTTCACTAGTTTTATGAATAAACTAAATTGAATTTGTATAAAACATGGCAATCATCTATTCTGTAGCTTTTTTTTTTCCTTCAGTAAGGAGTCAACCAGCCATTGCTGATTAAACTAGTAATAAGTATCTGTTTAGTTTATGTATATGCAACTCCAAACATGTAAAATAACTGAGTTGCTGTAATGGGATATTGTTACTAGATAAATATTCCAGTCTTAAACAGATTCTGGGTATTGGAATATATTGGAAGATCAGTAGGCTGTGATATTCCATTATGTTGAGTTGTGTGTGTATGTGTTTTAACCATAGGCTTTTTTTTCTGTTTCACTGTCTTTGCTGAAAAATGGTTCTCTCTCTGCTTTCTATCTTCTGTGAATTCAAATGGAACTTAAATTTTATTGTCACTGATTATTTTGAATGAACAATTTTCTTAATGTACTTTTGTCAAGTCACTTCCATTTATTAAGTCTTTTAAAAAATATTTATTTATTTATTTGGCTGTACCAGGTCTTAGTTGCAGCATGCCAGATCTAGTTCCCTGACCAGGGATCAAACCCAGGTCCCCTGCACTGGAAGCACAGTCTTAGGTACTGGATCACCGGGAAAGTCGCTATTAAGTCTTAAATTCATTCATTCACTCATTTCTTCTTTTATGCGGCAAACACTGATTAGATGAAAACTATGAGCTTGTCTGGGCTTCCCACGTGGCTCAGTGGTAGAGAATCTGCCTCGCAAACAGGAGATGTGGGTTCAATTCCAGGGTTGGGAAGATCCCCTGGAGAAGGAAATGGTAACCCCTGTAGTATTGTTGCCTGGGAAATCCCATGGTCAGAGGAGCCTGGTGGGCTATAGTCTCTGGGATCAAAAAAGCATTAGACACGACTTAGTAACTAAATAATGGCAGTAGCATGAGCTTACCTTTGGTCTAGATTCACAGGAAGCAAGGATTATTAGTAAGGTATGATAACTTCCTCTGAGGAGCTCACAGATAGAAAGAGGCAGACGTGGAATGGACAATTCCTGTGTAGTGTCACCTTTTTTGTTGTCATTTAGTCGCTAAGTTGTGTCTGACTCTTTTTGCTACCCCCATGGGGCCCACCAGGCTCCTCTGTCCATGGGATTTCCCAGGCAAGAATACTGGAGTGGGTCACCATTTCCTTCTCCAGGGGGTCTTCCTTACCCAGGGATCAAACCTGTGTCTCCTGCATTGCCGCCTTAAAAACAGAGTTATTTCTCCATTTCAGCATGGAACAGGGAGTTCCCAATTATATAAGTGGATGCAAGGAAAGTGGCACAGAAATGGCGAAGTTGAAGCTGAAATTTTTTTCATATACTCACTTTCTTCCTAGAAAAATAAGCGTGATCTCTGTAAGGAATTTGGAAAACAAAAAGAGAAAAATAACATATGATCATACTACAGAGAAATAACCACTGTTAACAGCTGGCATATTTTAAAGACTAATTTCTACATGGATGAGCTCAAACTTTGTAAACAATTTTGCTATGTTATATTTTAGAATTTTTTAAAATACTTTTGCACATTTATATTATTATTCTATATAGAAATATTCAGTTTATCATTCCTCCATTGTCTGTTTCCCTCTTAAAAACAACATTGTGATGCCAACCTCTGTGCGTAAATATTGGCCTGCATTCTCTATTGTTTCCTAGAGAAGGACTCCTGAAGGAGAATTGCAGATTAAAGGCTATGAACACTTTTAAGACTCTTGACATTTTCTCCAGTGCCCTCTTCTTCTCTGATCTTAAGGCAAGAGCTCAAGCCTTTAGAGAGTCAGATAAATTACAAATATGGGAAAGTTCTTTAAAAATTCTCCCATGCTTCATTGTATGTGTAGAAATGTACATGACTGTGTGCACCCACATGTATCTCAGGAAGTGACACCAATACACACACACACCCTCCTACCTAAGAGGTATTGTGGATCACTTCTTGTTCAGTCCTTACAATGGGCTATATTTGTTGGTTTTTCTTTAGGCGTGTTTTGTTTATGCCATCTCTTTATTTCCAATGCCGGCTTGTGGTAGGAAATTAGTAAATGTTTCTTGAATGAAATAGAAGGAATAAAAGCAAGCCAGTTAAATAGTTAATGTGTATTTTTTTAATATCATGTTTTATTTGTTTTCAGCATTCAGCAAGACATGCTGGTGAACCCCAACTCCGCATCTTCATGATCAAGGGACCCTCTTACACAGCACAAAGGTAAATGTTTGAGGCTGATTGTCTTGCTGGTCTGAGGAAAATCTTGCTCTCTGGGAAAACACTCACAAATGTCTCAGGGTCTTCTTGGGTGATGGCTTTTGTGCTTTTGTGTTCCTCTTTAAGCTCTAGAGGGTTTATGGAGCCTTCAGGAACTGGTGCCTTTTCTCTGGGCTACTTTGTGTTTCGGTTACAGAAAGATAATATTGATTCTCTTTCTTCTTGTCTTTAAGCACCTAGTAAATGTCATTAAGAGTCTTAAGTTTTCCTGCCCAGATTTCAGTTTCTCCTAATAGGTTGTCTCAGACTGGTTTGATTTTTAAATGCAATAATGTCACCTCCCTTCTCAAATCCCAGTCTAAATATATTTATCAACAGAAGGAACCATTCTCAATTGTGCAAACTAAAGTCAAACCGTGCATAAGATAAATGTCTCTACATAGGAAACAGACTTGGAGATTTATGAGCTTTAGGAACAAGTACTATTCTTTTGAGGTCCTAAACTTTTAAATGATGGCAGCACTGAATTATGTACTTCATACAGGGAGCCGGGAAAGCACAATTGAAAACGCCCATTCTTTTGACAAATTAGAAGCATTCATTCCAATATCTATTTCTTGTTTACCAGGGATAATGCTGAATGAATCACAGACTGGTGGATGGATGTCCCTTCCTAACACTTTTAATTAGCAGCACCGCCTATTAGGATGAACAGAGTGCTGTGTTTCTGCCATAGATTACCCCAACCCGCAGTACATAGAATAGAAATCTTATTCTCCACAAGGTAATGTTCATCTCTTCCCCAGCCAGACAAGCATAGAAAATTAAACAATGGTCTGTTAAAAAGCCCAGATAATGTATTTATCATTTCCAGTTTATGTGAGTTTGCAAGGCAAATACAAGTGGGAGCTATTTGTTATGAGACCTTGGGGAACAGCAGACTGGAGAACGAGCTGGGAGGCTGGAGGATCTGAGACTTGTAAAAATTCATTTAAAATATGAGGAACTATTGGAGACAGAGGAAATTAATTACTCTGAGGGACTCATATGTCACTACTCATTTAAGTGACCTGGCGAGGAGGTTGAGAAACCTGTTTTCTGGGGGCTTCTCTAGTGGAGAAGACTGGTTTCTGGGACTCCTCAGCTGTCAATTTTTGCATTTCCTTGGTGACTTATTGACATGTCAACCTGGCTTTGTGCCACAGCCTCTTCTAATGAGTAGAGTTAAATGAGAAATGGGGGTTGGGTTGGGGGAGCACTCTCCCCATTGCTGGCCAGGTTATCTAGCAGAGCTCATCGCGTATGTAAGTAACTGCCCGACCTAGGGGAAGCTTGTAAATTACCACAATGGAGACAAGAGGCTGATCATTTGCAGCCGGACTGCGTTTGGTCTTTTATTATTGCTTTTCCATCCACAAAGCTATTCTCTGAGGTGGAGTGAATTTGGGAAGACAGATTAAGGTTTTCTACCTAAAGAGGACTGGGGAGCAGTAGCTTCTGAAAACAGTCATCTTTTCTAGATTGCCTGTCTCATAAATCTCTCAAATGCATTCTGCTTATAGACAGAGGTTGAAAATATATAGATATGTGATGACTTAAAAGTTTAAAATCAGTAAGCATCAGAGTAATGGAGTAGAAGCTCTCTCAGATGTATGCCTTCCCTAGACTGGGGAAAATCAAGGTTTTTTTAATGAACTGTCACTAACCAGCTGTGAGATCCTACAAGAGCCACCATAGGGCCTTGAGCCTTTGTTGTGATGTTTATAAAGTGGGAATAATATCTAACTTTGTGATTAAGATCAATGTGTCCAAAAGAGCTTCGACGGGTGGAAATAACAGTTATGTAAGCGTTATCATCTATGGATGTATTCTGCTATAAAAGTCTTGGTTTTTAAACACTGAGGCAGCTCAGTGGTCTGTATTGCTACTTGATTCACAGTTAAGGGGGTCTGCAGTGTTCTCCCATCTTGTTCAGTTAGGAAGGGTAAATCAACAAGCTGAAGAAGGATAAACAGTGTTTCTCTGATGACTGATTTTGGGAGAAACTGTTCACATGGTTTGAGAAAAAGACGTTGAAGCATAGCTTTGTAGGGAGTTGAGTCCTGGATATTTACCTCTGGGCACCATCCTACTTCTCCAATTTGAAAAAAATCCTAGCCCTCTGAAGTGGAGACAAATCATGCATTTATAAGGGAGATATTTGAAGATTATTCATGTGTTCCTAGAAAGAGAGAATGATGAGGTAAACAAAGGTAGGGTCAGTGGGGATGGAAAGAAGAGAGAACTCTGGAGAAGCCTGGCAAAGGAAGGAATTCTAGGCTTTTAAATAGTCAGGGTGGCTTTCACTTAGAAGAGGGAGCAGTGCAGTGACTCTCAGCTGAGGAATATTCCCAAGGCACTTGTAATGCCTTTAATGGAAGTGTGGGGGAAATGCAGGCTACAATCCCTCTGCTCAAGGAGCTCAGAGAGGTAAACAATTAGTTATCACATAGAACAGACAGAAAGAAGCCCTGAAGAGCAATGCTGGGAAATACGTTGAGATGGAGGATGCTACTGAGCGGGAACTCAGAGGCTGAGCACCTCTGCGCTAGGCGAGGAGGGTTTGAGGCTAGACATTCTGCACAGCAGCAGCTCAGTGGCCCTGGACCACAGCCGCACGGTGAAGATGCTGGCTTGGGAGCCGCGTGCCTGGCCTGCCGTGTGTGTTCAGCAACTGGAGTTTTGTATACTAGCCTGCACTCATGGTTTTCAAAGGCTTTCTGGCTGTTACTCTCTTCTGAAAGTAGACATGAAGGACTGCCTATCCTCATTAGCCAACCCTGTAGTGACCCAGACCTGACCTGTCCTGAGAATGCTCAGACAACATCCCCTGGGACCCAGCTCTGAATAGTTGCTAGAACCACTATCCCCGTTCCTTGGTATTCATTACCTGGTTTTAAGCTTTTATTTTTTTACCACTTAACCTTTTAAAGTTCCTTGAAAGCCATCAGTTGGCATACCTACACTGTTGGCTATTTATTTTGTTGATTAGATGTGTCTACCTCTTATTCATTTGTAGTCATTTGCAGCCAACATAGGTGAGAAATCATACCTTCCTATGTAGAATAGTATTAAGACAGAAAAATATTTTTCTTGTTATCTTCCTTTCTTTTTCCCCATTCTTGAATTTATCCCTTTGATGCCTCCTGTATGCCTCTTTTTTGTCATCATTTTTATTTTCTCAGATTATCTCTATTTACCTTTCTACTTTCTCTCTTTATTGTGATAGAATCACACATTCTCCAACCTGAAAGAAAGCAAGAGATTTTAGATACCAGGGGCTTAACTGTGAAAACTCTGAGAGGGGTCTTAGCCATGTGGTAATTTCTCTTTCCTGTTATTTTTGGTGATGGTGGTGGTGGTGCTTCCAAAGCTGAATGTCTTGGATTTTAATCTCTGTTCAAAAACATCTATAGTAATAGCAGATAGTAATATATAACAGATAGTAATAGCTATCTGACATGGAGCACATCAATCTCAAGTTTCAATCACTTTCAGTTCAGTTCAGTTCAGTTCAGTCACTCAGTCGTGTCCAACTCTTTGCAACCCCATGAACCGCAGCACACCAGGCCTCCCAGTCCATCACCAACTCCCGGAATTTACTCAAACTCATGTCCATTGAGTCAGTAATGCCAACCAACCATCTCATCCTCTGTTGTCCCCTTCTCCTTCTGCCCTCAATCTTTCCCAGCATCAGGGTCTTTTCAAATGAGTCAGCTCTTTGCATTCTTTAAGCCAACATTTTCACTCTCCTCTTTCAGTTTCATCAAGAGGCTCTTTAGTTCTTCTTCACTTTCTGCCATAAAGGTGGTGTCATCTGCATGTCTGAGGTTATTGATATTTTTCCCAGCAGTCTTGATTCCAGCTTGTGCTTCCTCCAGCCCAGTGTTTCTCATGATGTACTCTGCATATATGTTAAATAAGCAGGGTGACAATATACAACCTTGATGTACTCCTTTTCCTATTTGGAACCAGTTTGTTTTTCCATGTCCAGTTCTAACTGTTGCTTCCTGACCTGCATACAGGTTTCTCAAGAGCCTGGTCAGGTGGTCTGGTATTCCCATCTCTTTCAGAATTTTACACAGTTTACTGTGATCCACACAGTCAAAGGCTTTGGTATAGTTAATAAAGCATAAATAGATGTTTTTCTGAAACTCTCTTGCTTTTTTGATGACCCAGCAGATGTTGGCAATTTGATCAATCAGTTTACATCAGTAAAATTAAGGTAACAATAATACTTCCTATATAGGATTGTTGTAAGAATTTAATGAGAGGGCAGGTGAAAGGGTCTGGCACATTATATATTCTCAATGAATAATTTTAGCTATTAGTGTTGCTTGTAATAATGCATGCAATTATAAACCTTTAAAATACAAAAGGTAGATGTGTTGATCTTTGACAATAAATAAGGGAGAAGTTGGGAAGACTCCTTCCCATTCTTTTGTCTTATGGAATGGAAATCTCCAGTGACAGAGGCACTGAAAACAGCTAAATCAGTGAGTACACAGGGAGGTCTCCATAGCTGGGGAGGACCTGGGTGCTCAGTAGTCAGAAGGCATGCTGGGCTCCCTGAGTTTCTGCTGTGCCTCTGGGGAGCATCAAAATCAGCTCTCCAGCAGACTTAGTATTCCTTCCCACCTAGAATGGTGGCTTTCTATATGTCAGGTTGGCTAGACAGAAGTTCATAACTCAGAATTCAATTTCCTGTAGTTTTCAGTTAGGGTGGACCACAAAGAGGTGCTTGGGAAATCTGGAGGATGAAAGGATGCATTAGCCACTTTGCTGCTCAGGTGTTGCTGCTGATCTGCTGACTTACTGAGTCAGCATAGACCAGCATCCAAGGCTACAAGTGCATTTACTTTCCCCAGATCCTCCTCCAACTTCTCTAACCCCTCACCCATTTGTGTGTGTTTTGAGAAGAGACCCCGGCTCCAGCAGGTCACCCACATTTACAATTGGGATAGCAGTGAAAACCGAGGTTCCAGTTCATCCTTAGGGAGTTTCAGCTCATACCTGTGGGTTCCCAGCTGCTCCTTATTTTCTGCATTACTTATATCCATCTTTCCTTCCTGACTGCCTACCCAGTGGACTTCAAGCTCCAGCATCAGACAAGATACAACAGATTTATAGACTGCTTTACCAGTTCCCAGAGTTGGAAAAGGCCAAATTTCTCTATAAATAAATAATACATACATACTTATAAAATATATATAAATATCTAATGCATGTATATATGTAACATAAAATGTACTTACTTATATTTTTAGAGGAACAGAACCAACCACTAGGAGATTATATGCATATATAAGCATGGGTATATGTGTGTGTGTATATATATATATATGTGTGTGTGTCTGTGTGTGTATACATATATATATATATATATATATATATATATGGATTTCCCTGGTGGCTCAAATAGTAACGAGTCTGCCTGCAATGCAGAAGACCTGGGTTTCATCTCTGGGCTGGAAAGATCTCCTGGAGAAGGGAATGGCTACCCACTTCAGTATTCTTGCCTGGAGAATTCCATGGACAGAGGAGCTTTGTGGGCTACAGTCCACGGGGTCAAAAAGAGTTGGACACAACTGAATAATGTCAAAGAAGTAACACATATCAAAGAAGTGATGAATAAGAATAATTCAACTATATATCCTTAATAGAATATATATATAATTCAATATGTATGTATATATACACATACATACACACACACACACATATACATATATACATATGCAAGCAAACACATTCACACACATACCCATATACAATCTATTGGTGCTTGTCTCTGCCTCTCTGGTTAACCCTGACTAGTACAGAGTCATAAGCTTTTTATAATAGGGGACTCTCTACTTCATAAGGCAACCAACTTCTATTCAACCTCTTCTGGCCCTTTCTGTAATGTAACAGAAATAAAATTAAACTCATGATCCAAAATGTAGTTTTTCAGCCCAGGGCACATCCCACTTCCTGCTTAGGATTTCTGTCCCTCTCAACCCTAAATCTTCTTGTAATGTCTCACTGCCATAATCTCACCCATTAAAGTTTTTTCTCTCTGGTTTTTCACCTTTTTGATCTTCAGAATCAGACTCTTAATGAAATTAACCCCATAAGTATTGAATATGCTAGAAAAACCTTCTAGCAAATTCCTTTTCCCCAGACCTGTCTCCTCTTTATCCTTCCCATGCCTTTTGAAGACTATACCTTGGTTCTGAATGTGTGGTCTAGGGTGAGAGGAGGGATGCATAGAATTTAGAATCAGAACACCTATGTTTGTGTCCTTCCACCACAGTGTTGACTGCATCTGTTTGATAGTTACCTTCTGAGGGCCTCAGTTTCCTCAGCTGTAAAATGGGTGTACTAAAGTCAACCTACCCATTCTCAGGCTCTCTGAATCCAATAACCTGTGCATGGCTCTAGGTGTTTGAGGCCTGCTGTACTTGAACAGCTCTCCAGTCTCAGATTAGCTCACCCCTAGGTGGGAAGATGACAATTATGGGCAAATATTGGGCTCCAGAATTTGTAATAGAGCAGCAAATCAAAACACTCTTATTTTTCAATAAAATGAAATATTTTGAAAGAGCAATAACCTAAATTCTTATTCATGATCTACCATAATAACATTTTGCTTAAATTATTTCCTGAAGAAGATTTAGACTGAAGAAATTTCATGTAGAGCTGTTGCTTTTTAAATGGGTATATATTTCAAAATTACTTGTAAATCAAAAACATTACAGAGCTGACCAAAAAGAGCAAAGCTGTCAAATATGAAAGAATGACTGTACATTATTTTACTTAAACCAGCATTTAAAACTAACAAAAAAGCAAACACAAAAATAAAATCTGACAGAACAATCCATAACAGAACCGAGACAAAAAAGAGCTAATCTCTATAATGCAGTGAGTTTCAAAAGTGAAACAGCCAAGTGATTAAATTAAGTATATTCAAATGAAACTTTTATGGGTGGATAATATAGACGTCCTCTCAAAGTAAAGAGCCTGTACTCCCTGGCAGAGGAATCTTCCAAGTGAGTAGAAGAGGTGACTGTAGAAACATCCTATTCTTAAGTGTGGCATAGACAACCAATTGTGAGCTCACAAACCTGGTTATAAAGACCTCTGTAATTGGCAGGTATGTGCCTTCTAGACGAAGATGTGGAGGACATAGGTGACAGCTGAAGTCCACATTTGTGACCACACCTTGCCTTGCTTCCCAGCACACATTTATCACCGAACAATAGCCAAAATTGAAGAAATAGCTGATTTGCCCTCCACTCCCTAAATGCATGTACACACAGGCACACACACCTGCCGGTCTTACCAGGATCAAAGGAGTGCTGTAACACAATGCCTGGCACACGGGAGGTCTCCAAATAGATGTCTGTTGGATGGGTGCATGTATTACTGAACTGCTGAGGAACTCAAGGGCAAAGTCTAGAGGTATCAGTGGACATTATGACAGCATTCTGGACAAAATGAAATGGGAAAAAAAATGCCCAGGAGAATGACTTGTCTGAAGATTTAACATGTTGATGTTCATAACACCTCACCTGCCAAAGGTATCTTATTCACAATGAATGAAGCAACAGAACAGGATTAAATTGGCATAGCTGGAGGAGGTCTGCCTGCGTATGAAGAGCTGAATGTTATCTCCAGGCAACGAATGGAGTTGTAACAAGAGGATTCTTATTTTTAGTCTTGGGGAGAAAATGAATTTGAATCAAGAGACACCCAGCGTTGATAAGAAAAGATCAGGGCTTGAGGGAGGGAGTAGATATATAAAAAGTTCAGAACAGGAAGGCTGGGCAAAGAACTGGTTGTGGGTGGGGGGCGGGGGAGAAGGGGTATCATGGGAGGAGAGCTTGTTTTTTCACAGTGGCACCTGCAGGTGTGACAAGGTCCACTGGGGCATCAGGTCAACTCAGACCCCTACTGCTTGATACAAGCTACATCAGTGTATGCACCTGAGGGCTAGGGAATTGGCTTTCCTCCTCTGCAGACTTGGCTGCATCCTTTGGGGAACAAGGAAATTCTTTCTTAAATCATTTAACATGCTGTACTGTAATTTCTGCTTGTGTTTTCTCTCACTCTTCATGTCTCCTATGGTGCCAAGGTCTTGGCATTTTGTTGTTGTTGTTTTCAGTTTTTTCTGCATCTTTATTTCTAGCATCTGTATCTGAGAATCTCTTAAAAACCACTGATCACCTTCATATGTTAATGATAATAAACCTCACCAAAGATATGTAAGGAAGCAATCATTATTTACAGTTTTAAGTAAAGAAGCACAGGATCAGAAAAGTAGCCATTTGCTCTAAGTCCTGCAGTTGGTAAATCTAGTACTGAACTAGTATTTGAACCCAGACCTGTCTGGAAGTTTGTGATCTGTCCACTATTCCTCTAAGCCTTTAATTGAGTACATGCTCCCTGAAAATTTCTTGGAAGGCTGGAGGGAGGGAAAGATGGATGATAGATAATAAAAAGGAAAGATGATTTGAATACAAATAGCCAGACTTTCAGGCTTCCCGGGGTGGGGTGGGGGGGAGCTCCTGGTAAAGAACCTGCCTGCTAATTCAGGAGACATCCCTGGGTCAGGAAGATCCTCTGGAGGAGGGCATGGAAACCCACTCCAGTATTCTTGCCTGGAGAATCCCAAGGACAGAGGGGTCTGGCAGGCTACAGTCAATGGAATTGCAGAGTTGGACACAAGTGAAGCAACTTAGCACGCATGCACACACGCACAGCCGGACTTTCAGATCTATTCTGAACAGATCACAGACGAAGGTACCTGACACATAATACTTTATTTTGCGATAATGCTGGCTGAACCAATCCACAAATTGAGGGAGAGTTCTACCAGTAGACTTTGGGATTTATCCACAAAAATGCCAGGGACTTAGCCAAAGTTGTGTGAGAAAATTGATTGATCTTGAGAAAGGGACTAAGACAGAGTGTTGGGCAGAGCAGAAAACTCTGCTGGCCTACTCTTCTGCAATGATCTAATTCCACCCCACTCATGCCTCCATGCTCAGGCCGTGGTTTGCTCATTTTTTTCTGCACAGCAGCCTTAGAGGAAATTAGCATCATGATGAGTGTTTTAGGGATGAGAAAATTAAGGCTCCAATTAACAGGTTTATAGAGTTCACTAATGCCAGAAATGAGTTTGAATGTAAGTTACCAAGAGTAAGTTACCCAGACATCAGCTATTTTAGTAGCATCCAATTGGCTGCAAGATGATTCTTCCAAAGGAAATTTCTATGGAAATGTTGTCTTATGGCCAACATTGTTTAAGCCAAGCATGTCTCTTTCTGTGAACATTACCAAGGTAAACACAAAGATTATCCAGAGATTGCATGCCCCTAGATTTCTCACCCTTCTGTGTTTAACACGTGACTTTAATGTTACTCTAATGGGGGTGTCTTTTTTTATCAGTGTCTCTTAGCTGGTGATACTTAGTCCTCGGTGTCCCATTGAAGGTAATGCTCCCAGATGGCTCACAAATTAGGTTCAATAAAATGTAGTCATTCTTTGCTTTTAGTGATTCCTTGGTGCTGAACCCATTTAACTTACCTAAAGTCCTATTTGAGTTGTAAAATCCTAAATATGGATTGATTAGAACAGGCTAATAGAATAGGCTCTCCGGTAAGTGCAGTGAGTTATTCTGAAGTGAATAGAAGGCCCAGTTTGGAATGGAAAACCTGACTTCAGCTTCATTTTGCCACTTGTTGGCTCTGTGTCCCTGGTTTCTTGTGTCTCCTTTCTCTCATGATCATTTGGTTTCAATTCCCCTACATGAAAAATGAGAATCAGAGGTGATTGTGGAGAGCAAGTGGTAACATATATGTGAAACTAGTTGGTGAAGTATAAATGGTTATAGAAATGTAAGTTAGTGTACTACATTTTAAAATTAAATGTGAACAGGTGTGCATTGCATCACTGGAAACATGCTGTTCAATTATAAATTTTAAGAAAAAGGAGAATCAGGACCCTCTGCGACTATAAGGAATCTCAGAAATGATCTAGTTCAATTTGCTTCTTGACAGAGGAAGAACTAGAGTTATCCTGAGCTGGGGTCCTCTCTCTCCAGCAATGTGGATTATTGAGATGTTAAAACTAAGCTGACCTGTAACAGTGACAGCATTTGCACTAGGTCCAAACCAAGAGCACCAAGGAAAGGATGGGTTGTGTCCCAGGGTCTGGAGAAGAGCAGTGATTTCCTCATCAGTTCAGGGAATATCCTTTCTCACCAGGACCCCAGCTCTGTGATCTCACTCCTCACCCAGTACTGCTGCAAATCTGTGCTTCATACAAAAAATAATATAACACTGATCTTTATCTCCTCATTTAACTCTCAAAGTTATCACACATGATTTATTGTCTTTGTTAATGAAAAGTAACAAAAATGGCATGCTTCTTTTATAAGTAACTTTTTGATTGTTTATGTATTCATGAATCTCAAAATTTTAAACCAATATCCACATATTACATGGAATTTAGAAATTAGAGGAAGACAAGAGGTTGTCTTTTTTCCATTGTATATCCTTGCCTCCTTTGTCAAAGATAAGGTGACCATAGGTTCGTGGATTTATCTCTGGGCTTTCTATTCTGTTCCATTGATCTATATTTCTGTCTTTGTGCCAGTACCATACTGTCTTGATGACTGTGGCTTTGTAGTA